AATCATCTGGACACCCACATCTAGCCGAGCTGATGGATTCTGGAGGAAAACGGTTGTTTTCTTAGGTAACTACTCGGTTTCTATCCATATTTTAATCAGACATGAGGTTCTCTGAACAAGGACACCTTTTACTTCCAGATTGATTTTAACCTACAACATGTTTTCTTACATAAATTCTCCTTTTGCCTAACCATCGATTCATTTCACCCAAAAGAAAACCAAGTTACCCAGGTGGTTATGAGGCTTCTGCAAAGGAAAGAGAAGTGGGCTAGAAAAGGCAACTGATTCTCAAGATAATGCTTCCTCTGGGCAGAGTCCCTTAATCCTGATTGGACAAGATCCCAAATATTCTAGAAAAATTGATCAATGGTGCAAAACTGAAGCACATGAAACAAACTGCCATTTAATACGCATCAACCATCAAAAGCTGGCAAACCTAGAAAAGATGGCTATATGAGCGTTTAGTTGGGAAGTTGGGCAAATAGGACACAGATACTTGAATTTTGCACAGTCTTTCAAACTGAAATTAATCTTTTGTATAAAGAAACTCCCTGAACAATCTTTAAATGCAAATTTTAAGTTTCACTCTTTATTTGGAGGCCTACTATATGAGTATTCTGTCAATAATTCATAGTATATTCATTTTTCTCAGGAATTTTGCTTGTTGCTTATAAAGACTGCAGTGATATTAAAATCTCTCTCCCTTTTTATGTTATTCTAGAATATCAAGTGTAAACTACAAAGTGTAATTCTGATACTGCGTTGAGAAAGTTACATGAGGACACAAAATGTCTTAATTTCACCCACAGTAATTTTACCTGAAAAATTTTAATTGTCAAAGCCCAAGACTGCACCATATGTAATGAATACTGCAGTGAAAGATTCTTAAATGCATCTCAGCAAATTATTCAGCAAAGAACTTCATCATATAAAAATACATACTTTAAATCTTTTATCAATGAATGCATGCCAATATGCTTCCCAGGAAAAATACCAGAACATCAACACCTCAAACTTCCCTTCAGAACATCTAACCTTCACATAGCTATTTGATGCCACTTACCTCCTAAGGTTCCCTAATCTTACCTCACTGGCATCAAAGAACTACAAAAAACGGGTATCTGAGAAACTAGACAAATCTGTTTTTAATATGGAAGATCTGCACAGGAAGCTGCCAGCACTAACTGTCTCTATTCCCCCCTGCAAGTACTCTCCATTCCTACTTGTAAGCTATTTAATGAATACTTTATTTGTATCAATATGCTTTAGCGTGTTTCTCATCTTAACAATTATTTATTTCTAACTACTTTAACAATAATTGCCATCTCCTGTATGTGCTAGCACTATGCTGAGCAGTTAGCATGTGCCACCAAAGCAATCACTGTTCAACAAATTAATGGAAAATGGAATTAGAGTATCCTCAGATCATCCCCACTTTACAGATGAGAGAACTAAGGCTCAAAGGACTTAAGCAATTAGTTAAAGGTTAAAGATCTGTCTACTAGTGGAAGCTGGATTTGTAACCCACAAAGTGTGATTCTTAAATCCTGAAGGTTTACCTAACATGTTGCCATACCCTTAGAGTTTTAACCTATACTTAGATGAAAGGAACCAGGTTGTTTCCCCAATGTGAGATTATGCAGCTTGAGGATATTCTAATCTCTTTTGACACATGCATTTTGGTTTCTGGCCACTAATTCCCCGACTCTCCACCAAATCACCAGTGTAGTTAGCCAGCCTGACAATATGTGGTTAGCTACAGCAGCAAAGTGCACGCACTGAAGCTCCCCTTACCTTTTTAAAAAGTCTTAATTGGTGATTATTTACAGACTTCTAAGAGCTAACTGCAGGTAAAAATGACTCTGCCGTGAACTCTACTCCTTTCCTGAAATCACAATATGCTTGGTTCGCACCATCACTTTTCGTATGCTCCTTACAAATCCACTGGAAAAGTCCACCAGGATTATTTCTAGCACTGACTGCTAAGATACAACACATCTTTAAGTCTCTTGGTTATCTGCTAAACTTCCTTTTTTGCTTATTTGTCCTAAAGTTCATAATGATGGGCTGATCTTAACAGGTCTGTTTTTATTGCTTATTGCTCTCATCAAGTGCTCAGAGCCATGTTCCACAGCTATATTACCATAGATGTTATTTTACAGCACTGCTTAACTACCTTGACCTTGACCGGCCCTTTTATTCCAAGAAACAAGTAAGAGGCAGAACTGAAACAGCAAGTCCTACATGGCTGTTTAATTTGTACAAGGGAACTTAAACTGGAAAATATCATTAAAAATATATGTTGGTACGTAATTTTTGAAATCCATGCATAACATGTATTTTCATAATATTCTATGCATTTTCCATTTACTCTTTGAAGACTCTTCACACGCTTGCTATTTTACTCTAATTCTTGGCACAGAAGCTTTGCAGCACACAAGCATGAATTCTTGGTCTCTAATACAAGAGTCGTGGATTATAGCTCTTTTAATAGACTGAATGAGGTTCAGGGTTTAGGAACCCCTTTCTGATGCCCTTTGTTTTTTTGATGGAGAGTTTTCAGGACCTGGAGAAAGTTTACAGTCCACTTTTCTCATCTCTCTTAGTCATCGCTTTGCATTTAAGAACAGTGGTTCCATGGGTTTTGAAAGCTGGATAGCTTTGTTTTGAAGCTCACCTCCTCAAGATCTTGGGCAGGTTCAAAATGAACTAAAGTATGAGGTGTTCTCTTTTAAATTTCTTTTTGAAACTCCCAGAAGCCTATTCCCTATATTAAAATCTTGGTGGTCTTTTAGAAGTATTTGCTGCTTTGCCATCCTGAGTTCTACCTTATTATCAAAGTTATAATAGCCATTAACTAGGCATAGGACCTGAGGGCAGGATTATAGGATTTTTCAGAAGGAAGTGTGAAAATCAGAAAGAAGGAATTATTTTGCAGAGTTGTTGGTGTTGGCATTTATGTGGTATTACGAAGAGTGTGCTGGGTGACAGACTGTCACCACCTTTGTATTCTGTGACAAATATGGCTCAAACAACACAGAGATAAGCAACCTAAAGTATCACACCAACTGGTCTCTTGTATATGCTTTGGGGCTCAATGGGATTCAGGAAAGAAGGGGGTATGTCCAGGGCCCAGCCATGTGAAGAATGCTTCACTCTTCAAGCACAATGACTACCTCAAGTTCAGGTAGTGGATGATGCAAGAACGCTGTAGAAAAAACAAGATCCAACATCCTTGCCAAATATCAACGTGTAAACATTTCACCTCTAACATTCTTCTAGCACGGCCTTCCTTGACTTGCCCATCATGTATAAATGTAATGTTTCTAAAACAACAGTAACTTCAGAGGGGCCACTGCATAGCTCAGTCTGCTACTCGGTATGATTTAGAATAACGTGCGGGCCACGCATGTCTCCTACAGGTAACACAGGGCATATTTATTTTGCTTTTTCAGATCACTGACAGCTGGTGCTAAGAACATATATGCATATGTTATATACATATATTCACACTACGGGGCTCCTATCAACACATAATCACATACATACCCCCTCTGGAGATTATAGCCTTTATTCTAAGTTTTGATCTAAAGGGTATCTTTAAATGTACCAAGGTTCAATCTTTAGAAGAAAATTAAAGTGAAATCAAGTCTGTATTGTCTATATCCTTTCTTTCTGCCTTTCTTTCCAGGTTAGCAGTTTATTTCTGCATTAATCACCCTGACAGAAGCAAGGCAACTCAATTTTCTGCTTCTGTAGGTAGGCACATCACTTTCTGTACAGCACCAGGCATGAAAAGGGCTGCAGCTAAGCTTTGGTTACTGGTGTAATTGAAATGCTATCCACACTATAGGGTGCATTAAAGTCAGATAACGGCAGTTCCTGTGGCCAATTTAAGTAGCTTGACTTCCCTGGGAAAAAAAAAAATTGCCTGACAGATAAGGCAGACAAACTGGCTAATTCTCCAAGCATGTCTCTCATTGTGATCCTAGAAAAATGAGAAAAAAATGAATCACAGAACCACAAAATCAATTGACCCTCGGGTAGCTCATCAGGCAGCGAGCCTGATAAACCTAAAAGCTTTGTTAATGTCTGCCTGCCTGTATCCCACAGATAGAGCACTTTGTAAATGAACCTGCTTTGATAAATATATTAAGGAAAGCTGTGAATAAAGGCAGAGACTTCTCATTTGTAAATACAACCTCTGCTACATGGAATTAGAATGATAAAATGGAGTTCCATGTAATTAAGTTTGTATAAGGCCTGAAATCCGTGCAAATACTTTCCCTGAATTTTGAAAGAGAACTGTCAGTTCAATTAATCTGAACATCACCCCAAGAATGTACTGAACAAAATTAAGCTGCTGATAAAACCTGGGCCAGTATTTTGATAAGTAATTCCTATATCATTTCTTGGCCACTGTGATCATTTTATTTAATCCTCTGCCCCTCCTTTAGCACAGTTACCCTCTAAGCCATGTACAAAGGGTGGATGGTCCACACACTGCCACAGCAGCAATCTACCAAATCGCAAAGCTACAAATGGGAAAGCCTTTTCTCCTATTTAAAAAAAAAAATCAGAGTAAATAAATTTCTATCGGGAGATACTAAAAAGCCTGTATCTCCACCACCACTCAAAGCCTAGACAAAAGAAGCCCCCTGAGAACTGCTCACTCCGTACCAGAGCTGTGCAAAACCACACTGCATGACTATTTCAGCTGGAGTGACCGGAACAGAATTTGTGGTGCAATTCAAGAATTTTAAAACATCAGAGAGATGGGAAAAGTGAGGTGGAGCAGAAGAGGGTGAGAAAAGAAATCATTTTGCAAAAGCCATTTCCCTGCGTTACCTGTTCCTGTCCCTAAGTACTATTTTCACACCTCAAGGTAGAAACACAGAGCTTATCCTCCTCAATTCCATTTGTTTTAGAAACAGAAAAACAATTATTTAGAAATCTCATTTTAGCCATGGGAGAAAGACATTGATTTTTGGGTGACTCACCAGTTGTTTACTTGGAGAATTGTAAGTCCTGTGTCTTGCGCTAACTGTTTCTTCTGCTCTTCGGAAGGGTACGGATGCTAATGAAAAAACAAATGTTTTAAAAGATGTATCAGCAGTTAAGAAAGAGTCACTTATGTCTAAGAATGAAACCACCACTGGTGATTTGTTCAGTCTATGGCTTGATTTTCCTAATAGCGTCTTTTGTATAATGTGTTTTTAAAAAGGTGAACAGAAAGGAATCTAGAAACATACGTTCCTGCTGCACCCTGGAGTGCAAGCAGTAGAAGGCCAGGGTGTAAGTTACTCAGTTCCTTTCAGAGGGCAGGGATGTGAGGCACCTCCGTGATGGCCTAAGAATTGGGTTATCCACAAGCATTACAGCTGTTCTGAACAGAACTGGTCTTGGGTGCATTTTACTTTGCCTGCTGGAAAACCTACACGAAGCCCTTATTCTAAGTTCTCTTCATGAGACAGCTCGACATGTGATGATTTCCTAGTTAATCTGAGGTTACTGACTTCAAAGTTTGGGTGGGGAGAAAGCACAAAATCTCAGCTGTTCTTGGAAGACATGGGAATTGATTGAATGACAACACAGTCCTCTTACAGTGTATTTCTTTTGACTCCTTTATAGGAGAGAAGTTTTTTTGATTTTTATTAGTTTGTGCTCTGGGTTAACAGGGTCACATACCCAATGATCACATATTAAGAGGAGTCAATTATGTGCACTGCTTTATATGGAATTTCTACATTTTTTTCTTAAAGTACAGCAATAAGAGAATGAAGCCATAGGTTTCAGTACTTTTTAATTCTTCATTTTCCACCACAATTCACCAATCAGGAACAATCTTCCCTTATCAACAGACTCTCCTCTCTCATTTGGAAATCAAGGGTTATTGTTTCAGAATCAGACATTTACTCTAAAAGACACTGTACTGGTGTGTACATAATTGTGGAAAATCTATGTGAAACAAGTACCTCCTCTAAACTTACTGGGTTTTCTTAACCAAAAAGTAAACTTCTATCCAGCATGTCAAACTTGTGCATAAACCAGAAAGCCTTTAGTAATAAATATTTCCCATCAGCATTATTAAAGGGTGACAATTAGGAGCAACACAGTATGCCGTTCAGAGCATTCTACTCATTCCAGTATAAGAGACGATGAATGTTTTTCAATCATCTAAGATTTTTTTCTCCAGGTATTTAATCTTCTATAATAGAATACATTATCCAAAATGTGCACAATTACTTATTAGCAAACTCAAATGCCATTAGGTTAAACAAAATCCCTTGTATAGCAAAAGGGGTTAACTAGATTTGTATTAATATAGAAGCCAGGCTTTTAATATTCTACAAATGTTAACAAAGAAAGATGATAATGTTGAGTTAATATGGGTTAAGCATAAAATGAAAATAAATTTTTCTGATTGCGAGGTGTTGACATTTTTTTGGCTAGGGCCTCCAGCATGTTCCTGAAAGCTGTGTAATTACAGAAGGCTTTTCCCCTCCTTCCCCCTCCTGCTTCAAGCCTACCCACATTAGTAATGACCCCTTCACTGCTTCAAAAACCACTAATGGTCTTCAGCACGGGCAAGAAAAATGAACAGGATAAATTGGAATCCACAGTCAGTAATTTGCATCCTATGAGGCTGCTTTGGCCACTCTTACTCATTCCTGGCCATCAATCGCTGCCTGTCAGGTGCTGCACTCTGCCACCATGACAAATACTCCTCCTAACACTCTGATTCGTCCAAACAATGTAATTGTCCTCCATTCTCCTTTTGGTAATGGAGATAATGAATGACTACACAAACAAGAAGGATTGCTCATCACAGACACCAGGGTGACTTCAAACTGGAAAAGACTTAGGGTACAGATTTTAATCGACTGAAAACACTGGTTGGAGGTGGAGGGATATATATATATATATTTCTTTACAAGTTTAAATATGTTTCCTTATGATATTTCCTTGACAAATCAAGGCAGTGATATATCTATTGGCTTCTTGCTCCTCCGAGAACCTAGGTTTACAGGTTATTTACCCCCCAAAAATGGAAATAAAGCTGCAACAAAAAGAAGGTCTAAGTCTATACTGGCAATGTCTTCCAGTGTGCTCTTTCTTTATGCAGTGTTTTTGACCTTTTATGTATATTCAGTCTTGGTCACTATTGTGATGCATTTGTATAAGATAGTACTGACAAAAGGGAATTATGCTGTGTGTGTGTATGAAGAGCAGAGAAAGCAGACTTTTGACAAAAGTTTAGGATGTTAAAAAAAAGTGGAGGAGAAAGCAAAGGAAGTGACTAGAAGTGAATTCCTTCAAGATGTTTGTAAATTATGAGTAACATGGATTCTTTCTGGGTATTTTTTCTTTTTTTAGAAATTTGGTCAAATGACCACAGAATTACACAAATAGTGCATTTTTTTTCTTGGGAATCCCTCTGCTGCACTTTCACTCTAAACACAGTTGCAAATTCCATCCACAATCATTTAACAAAATTGGTACACTCCCAAAATTCACCTTGCACAGATGGCTTTTTTTTTTTTAATTAATTGGGAAGACCATAATAACTTAAATTTATTTAAATAACATTCTGTGGTTTTTGAACATTCGTGGTTCCATGACCCTTTTATATATAGGGTGGACTGTTTATCTGGAAGTGTTCTGGCAGTCAGCCACTATATTTCTAAAATTAAAAGAGAGATGGAAAACAATCATCTTTCAGAGGAATTGGAACTATGACAATATGTTTTGGATTAATTTACAAATATATGTATATATTTAAAGCCAAACTGTGGAACTACAGAATTTTACTACATGGTCTATCATATGGATTCTTCTACTTTATTAGAACAGACATCATATTGAAATAATAAACATGGGAAGCCTTCACTTCTTCTTTGATGTATATTACTCAATGTCTGACTGGCTCAAATTTAAAATAAACTTTGGTATGTTTGCACTTGAAAACTGGAAGTAGACCACAAGCAATAATTTGTTGTCAGTTTCCATATTCTTGGACTAAAGCTATAGCTTAGTCTGTTCACTGTTGGGGGCCAAACCACCCAGGTCTAGTGGCCCAGAGGTGGCTCAGCTTACTCCTAAGAGAACACATTGTAACATAATCGCAACGCTGATGACGCCCTTCCCCAGGAAAGAACCAGCACGGGTTAGTCTTTCACATCTCAAAGTAATTCCAAAGCCACTGTTGAAAAGAAGCCAATCACAAAGATCCTCTTATTGGGATCTCAACTGACCAATGTTCAAAACGTTAACACAACATGTATGCCTCATGATTCAATGTAGACGGAGAATGTTTTTAAATCGCCTTTTGTTTTAAGGACTTATTTTAAACTAAAATACATTCTTTACTCAAGATACTGATGCTTTTCCTCTTCATTTTTTTTTCCTTTCTGAGTTTACCTGATTAAAGTATATGGAAACAGATTTACAAAATCTTTAGAATACATCATGGAATTGTTTTGTGGGTGAGAGCAGCTAATAATTTTTTTTGTGACTGTTTCCTCCCCAGTGATGTCTAACTGGAACCAATTCATCATGATTTTCAAAAACCATGATTTTTAAACTAATTTTACTGTGATATTTTAAAATGCTGTTATATTTTGAATCATCTCACAAATTAGAAGTATACAGTGAATTATAAAAGTAGTGTTTGGAAGGCTGAAAAATTGGAAGTGACATAAGGGCCCATCAGTGGGATCACTGTTACATAAAATGTAGTATTTCTAGGAAAGATTGGCCCCACATATTGTCGAGTGAAAAAAAATCGGGTTGTAGCAGAATAACTTTTTTTAACAGACATTATGTTTGCCATGCAAGAAGAACATCCGTAAAAGCACTCTGAATAAGCATTCATGTTGTACAGGGCACAGAGATAGAAACTTTGTGCATAATACCCCCATATTGGCCAAGTATATACTGCTTCAATTAAAAAAAAATACTATGCTAATTTTAAAGCTACATTTTATTTATGTAGCTAATTCATATACTTTCTTTTAAATTGTTTATTTATATGAAAGGAGGAGCGACACAGAGAGGATACAGACTGAGAGATTAATCTGTGTGCTGGAGAGGAAGCAGGGTGGGGCCTTGAACCCAGCATGATAGGGGTTGAGGGCCTCTCAGGTGGTGCCACGATGCCCATCCTCTGCTCTTTTTCTTAAAAAAGTATAGTTCTTTAACTTTATTATACAATTAGTTATTCTCCATTGTGATTATTCTTTCATCTGAATTTTTAAGATGTAACTAGTTATTTGGAAGGCAGAGTTACTGAATAAGAGATCTTCTATTCATTGATTGATTTGCCAGATGACTGTGCTGGGGCTGGATCTGTCCTAGTGGTTTTGTGAGCTGAGACACCTGTGTTCAGTATAGTACTACCTGGGTCCATTGCTTCACTCTGTCTTCTGACTAAAGTTCCCTGCTAAGGCAGGGCATAGAATACAGTGTGGATGGCTAAAGTGACAGGGTTCCTGTTATCTTATGGGAAATCTGGATGGCATTTCCAGCTCCCAACTTTGGTCCCTAGCCTGGCCCACAGTCCTTGCAGGCATCTAGGGAAGAAGGGCGCTCTATAGGCTGTTCTCGATCTGCTTCTCAAAAAATGAAAAGGCTGCGCCAAGATGTTGTCTCTGGTAGCTGCAGAAACTAGTTAACAAAGCTCTACATAGAATGCAAAGCATCTACAGGGAATATACTAATGAGATTTGTAATTATTAATTACAGATCTCACTGACTCCCACTTGCGCTCTCTCTCTCTCTCTCTCTCTCTCTCTCTCTCTCTCACACACACACACACACACACACACACTATGCCTATGCCAGGACATCAGAAAAACCCTTTGCTGTTCCTCATCAAGCTATTTTCTGTTTCCATCTAAGCACTTCCACATAAGATAGACGATGTATTTCTTTGTGTTACTCTATTTAATTCTTTGTATTGTCTGCATGTCCATCTATGTCTCCTACTCTTGAGAACAAGACCACAAAACATCAGGGTTGAAAATTTTTCATTTTATTTTTACTTGTATTTGTGTGAGAAAGGAGAAGGTACTATTC